GTGCTGAATGTTGTGCAGTCATCAGCAAACATCCCCAATTCTGACCTTATGATGGAGGGAAGGTCGTTGATGAAGTAGCTGAAAATGGTTGGGCCTAGGACACTACCCTGAGGAACTCCTGCAGAGATGTCCTGGAGCTGAGATGATTGGCCTCCAACAACCATGACCATCTTCCTATGTGTCAGGTATGACTCCAACCAGCAGAGAGTTTATCCCCTGTTACTTCCTCTTTATCAATTTTTAGGTTATTCACTATCTGTATGATTTGCTCTTTCCCTGTGACCTTTACCAGCTTTCATGTGAAAGAAAGATGCAAAGTTTTTATTCAAAAGCTCCATATGCAAACACCAGAATCACCCCTATTCTCCTCCCCACACCTTTGCACTGTCCACTGGAGCAGATGTTTTGACTTCCTTTTCCTTTTAGCTGTCAGTCAGGTCTATTTCCGAGTCTTCTCTCCATTAGCCATGGCCTATAATAACTTGACATCTGCTTGTTACATGCTAAATAAAGGTTGTTGATCAGATGTCTGTGGCATTAAGTACTGTCAGCGTTGTTATTATTTTTCAAGTACAGCTTATACAACTTGTTAGAAGTGGAACATTCCCTTGTGTCTGGTTCTAACCAGCTCTTGGTTCATTTTCAGCTTCTGTTTCCAAACACCAGCAGAATAAGAAATCACAGTGGCATGGTGGCTCAGTGGTTAGTGCTGCTTCCTCTCTGTGCCGGGGACCTAGGTTCGATTCCAGCCTCAGGTGAGTGTCTGTGTGGACTTTACACATTCTCCCCGTGTCTCTGTGGGTTTCCTCTGAGTGCTCAGGTTTCCTCCCTCAGTCCAAAGATGTGCAGATGGGGTGCATTGGCTATGGGATGCTCTTCAAACTTTTTGGGACGAATAGCCTCTTTCCGCACTGTAGGGATTTTATGATTCTATAAGGCATTCACCCCACCCTATTCCAAAATCTGATACAACTGCTCCTCTTCATCCCTGCTGCTGAAATGATTATCGGTTGTGATTCAGAATTTTGATATTTGAAGATAATTTAATACAGATTTTTTTTAAGTCGGAGTGCTTATTGGCAAATGGAATACTTTTTGAAGAGTGTTCACAAATGGAAGATAGTGTCAAATCAGCAATGGATTAACAGAAAACTAAGAAACTAATACAAACAGAAATGATGGAGAAACTGTGTCTGAGTAATTTTACGTGAAAGGCCACCTCAAATACCTATCGATAAGGCCAGTGGACCATCAGGTGGTGGATTCACCTGAGTATCATAATGACATTTTATGAGTTTCACAGAACTCCAATGGCTGGTAACCAAGGTATTAGGAAATCATAAGCTAAAATATATAAGATTTTTATTGTTGATGTAAACCTCAAACATCAATTAAATTTGCTTTAAATCCAATACCAGCTTCCAGAGAACCGTTCACCAGGGTCTTTGCAAATTGAACTGAACTCCTACTGAAGCTCAGAAATGGGGATTAGTGAACATGGCTGTTTCATAAAGATTTCCTAGAGCAGTGTCTTTAGGAAATGTTATTGCAAAAATGGTAGCATTTATAGCCTGTCCCTAGTTGCCCTTGAGAAGGTGGTGGTGAGCTGCCCTCTTGAACCACTGCAGTTCATGTGCTGTGGGTTGACTCACAATGCCCTTAGGGAGGGAATTCCAGGATTTTAACTGAACAACAGTGAATGAATGCCATTATATTTCCAAATCAAGATAGTGAATGACTTGGAGGGGAACTTGAAGGTGATGGTGTTCCCATGTTTCTGCGGCCCTTGTCCTTCTAGATAGAGATGGTCATGGGTTTGGAAGGTGCTGTCTGAGGATCTGTGGTGAATTTCTGCAGTGCATCTTGTAGATAGTACACACTGCTGCTACTGAGCGTCAGTGGTGGAGGGAGTGAATGCTTGTGGATATAGTGCCAATCAAGCGGGGTGCTTTTTCCTGGATGGAGTCAAGCTTCTTGAATATTGTTGGGCCTGCACTCACCCAGGCAAGTGGGGAATATTCCATCACATTCCTGATTTGTGCCTTGTAGGTGGCGGGCAGGCTTTAGGGAGTCAGGAGTTGAATTACTCGCTGCACTATTCCTAGTCACTGTGTTTATGTGGCGAGTCCAACTGAGTTTCTGGTCAATGGTAAGCTCCGGGATGTGGGGGATTGAGTGATGATAACACCATTGAATGTCAATGGACGCTGGTTTGATTGTCTTTTGCTGGAGATGGTCATTGTCTTGTGGGACATGTTCCTTCTAAACTCGTATTTCTGAGTGTGGCTGGGGATGGTGCTTGTGCAGGGCCTCACTGGTTGTGAACTCACTCACCCCAGAGTAACAACTGACTTTGGGGCTGCAGAAGATTGCAGAGATCAGGTAGGTGCAAAGTTTTGAAAACAACTTTTAAATCTGGATTTTGCTGAACAGAGTTTCAGTGAAAGTCAGTAAGCAGGAGGTTAATGAGTGGGTGGGACATGGTATGAAGTCAGACATTGACAACAGAGGGTTGGGTTGAGTCAAAGGTTGTTGTGGGACAGGCAACAGGAGGAGATTGGAGAGGTAACAGCAATGTAAGGGACACAACAGACAGCCTGAGATGGATCAGACAGCTTATAGAGGTGGACGTGGGCAGCCTGGGAATATTGAGTTCATGTCAGAGCCAAATCTGACACCTAGTTAAATACAGTCTGAATCAATCTCATTAACCTCTCGCTGTTGCCAGGGAGAATCAGCAGGAGGGAGTGGCAGAGATTGAAAACAAAGCGGTGACAACAAGGTGCAGGGCTGGATGAACACAGCAGGCCAAGCAGCATCATAGGAGCAGAGAGGCTGATGTTTCTGGCCTAGACCCTTCATCAGAAAAGGGGGAGGGGAAGGGGGTTCTGAAATAAATAGGGAGAGAGTGGGAGGCAGATAGAGGAGAGGATAGGTGGAGAGGAAACAAACAGGTCGAAGAGGCGGGGATGGAGCCAGTAAAGGTGAGTGTAGGTAGGGAGTTAGGAAGGGGATAGGTCAGTCCAGGGAGGACGGACAGGTCAAGGGGGCGGGATGAGGTTGGTCGGTAGGAGATGGAGGTGCGGCTTGAGGTGGGAGGAGAGGATAGGTGGGAGGAAGAACAGGTTAGGGAGGCAGGGACAAGCTGGGCTGGTTTTGGGATGCGGTAGGGGGAGGGGAGATTTTGAAACTTGTGAAATCCACATTGATACCATTGGGCTGCAGGGTTCCCAAGTGGAATATGAGTTGCTGTTCCTGCAACCTTCGGGTGGCATCGTTGTGGCACTGCAGGAGGCCCAGGATGGACATGTCGTCTGAGGAATGGGAGGGAGAGTTGAAATGGTTCGCGACTGGGAGGTGCAGTTGTTTATTGCAAACCGAGCGTAGGTGTTCTGCAAAGCGGTCCCCGAAAACAAAGCCTTCAGTTTTCCCAGTGGAGGAAATGTCTGCTCATTCAGTAAACTATCTGATCATTTATCACCAGTGGAGGAGATGAGAGGGGTGGTGGTGAGCTACAGCTGGTTGTAGTCTGTAAGGTGACTTCAGAGTGATGTCATCGAGGGGTGGTAGGTAAGAGGGACTGAGGGCCAAGGTAACTGTGAGGAGGCATGGTTCTCCAGGAGTCAATTACACAATGAATGGAATTTACAAATGACCCTCATGGAAACAACTGCTAGACAAAATTTAATTCTTTAACAGTAACAATTAACAGCCAAATTTTATTCAGACTATAAATGATTCTTTAAATAGCTGACATAACAAAGAGTTCCTTCAATCTGTGACATTAATCTCAGCTACCATGTTCCTCAAAAGTCAATCTCCTGCAGATAGAGTTTCAGGCCCTTTATTTATACAGGAGTTGCACCCCACCCCAACTGATAGCCTTCCATGGCTACACTGGCCACCCAAAGCTTCACCTTTCCAGATCCACCTCCGCTCTGCTCCAGAAACCTGCCCTTTTGGTCATTTGATCCCAGATAAGCTTCCCCTACAACCCTGTCATCCTCCTCTCCGTGAAAAACTAATCTCCAGAGCTCGGTGTCTATTTTAACCACTGACTAAAATATAACCACTGACTTGCTGATTGGCAAGGGATAACTCACTTTGTTTCGCTAGCAATCTAAGCTGGTTTCTCGGAAGTCTGATGTCCGAGCCAGGAATTCCAATTTGCAAATAAAAGCACCGTTCTGCAGGATATTAGAAATCTGAAATGAAAACAAGAAGTATTGGAGAAACTCAGCAAGTCTGACAACATCTGTGGAGAGAAAAACAGTTAACGTTTAGAGCCCTGTACGACACCTCTTTAGAATGCGAGAGTCATCAGTTTTTGCACAACTATATACTTTTTCTTTTAGTTTAATGCTACCTCAAACCTTTTTAAGTTAACCAATAGTGTGGGTTCATGCCTTGAAACCATTCTTATTCTTTGAAATGTATCTATTTTGTGTATTCTGAAATATCCTCTTCAATATCCATCACTGTGTCTCTGTTGACTTCTCCTTTAAACTAATTTACCTCTTTAGCGAATTCTGTTCTCATGTCCACAGAATTCCCCTGAATCTGTGGGTTATTGTTTGCTGACGTTTAGAATGGAGAGAAGTTGATTTGCTGCTAACTCAGTTAAACTCCAATCAATTCGTTGAGATGACTCCCCTGTTCACCTCCACCTGTAGCTTCTGCTTCAATAGCTTCTGCTCAAAGTGCCTCTTGAGATGTAGTAATCAGGACATTTAATTCAGGAGGCTTCCGACTCTCTCGTGTGTTGCTATGGAGATTCTGAGGTGCTTAGAGACTGGAAAAGAGCAAAATATTGTGTGATTCAAATGGAATGTCAAGGGGACAGAGCTCAGTATTGCAGGCTGTGTGTGTGTCTCTGTCTCTCTGTCTGTCTGTCTCTGTGTCTGTCTGTATCTGTGTGTCTGTACGTGTGTGGTCAGCTCAGGCTGGCTCACTATCACCCTTGGAATTGTTCTTAAACAGTGAGAAAGCAGGTTCATTGCCGGGCGGCGGAGGAGCTCAGTTTGGAATTTCCACCTCGCCAAGAGCTGTGTCCCTCACAGGCTCAGCAGGAGAGGAATGGGATCAGCATCATCCACACACCGCTCTAAGGCGATTTTCCTGGACATTGGAGAGAGCCGCACACAGAAGGTACCATCACTCACTGACCAGGCACAGCCACTTTCTACATAGTTTTCCAGACTGAGACATTCCCAGGTGGAAATCCCATTCAATTCATCCAAATAGGGCAAAGGCAGGGATTGGAAAAGCTAGTGTTACTGACAGCAGGAAAAGTGGACCTTCCTGTTCAGCTCAAAATGACTCTGAGGAGGCATCACCTCCCAGACCAGGAGGTTCCGATTTCACTTTGTGATCAACAGATCCAGAAACTCAAGGACTCAATAAGCCCTAGGTTAGAGAGGTGGTGGGGAAGGGTGTAGATATCAGCTGGGGTTCCTGCTCCCAATCACTGTCCAGGGATGCCTGGTTGGAATTTGTGGGCATGGTGCCTCTGGATGGTCGGGCGTTTTCTGGGCTGAGCTGTTAATTACCTTGGTGACAGCATCATGAAGCAAGCAATCTGAGGCAATGTCCTTTTGGAGCTGCTCTTATTGACCCTGTGCCCCATTAGCTTTTTCCCAAAAGCACGAGAGGAAGCGCAAACCAGTGCATGAGCCTGAGAGTGTCGGAGCTGACACTGGTGGGATTTACCCCCTTCTGGGGAGAGTCAGAGACCCTGGGACCTGTACTGCTTTCCTGAAGCCTCTGCACAAGGAGAAACTCTTTCACAACTGCCTTGCCTTCAGATAAATAAAGATCCCTTTAGTCCTCATTGTCAAAGAGCAGCTAGAAGCCTAGGGAAGGTGCTCATGGGAATTGTAAGGAAGGCTTTGAATTTGGGCAGAAATCTTGGGATAATTTGGATAACGATACCAGCCTCTTGTGGAATAGAGGGAAGAATTTGAGCTGCAGTGTAAGATTGAAAATGATGAGGGGATTTGAGGACAGAGCTGGGGGAGGTGGTGACAATTGGCATGGCGAGGGGTGCAGTGTGGAGTGGGATGTTAGTGCTGAGGTTTGGGATGCATGAGTGTGTGTAACTGTGAGAGATGGTGTGGGGATTGCAAGGATTCTCTAGCAATGAGAAAGGATTCAGAGATCAGATGGAAGTGGGAGTCAGGATGGAAAGGGTGGGAGATTCCAATCAGAACTCTTCACAGAGCAGGGACCTGACCTTGTCTCACTTGAAGGGACATGGAGTCTCTCAGCTCCTGGTCTTATCTATCCCAACTCATCAGAACTGGGCTCTGTTCCTTTTCATTGGGACCACGGCTAGACCCTTGCTGCTCCCCTCTCTGACTGTGGTTACTGATCCCCCTCCCACCATTACTGAACCCCCCTGCCCCCCAGGCTCTCTCTCCCCTGTGCCCCCTCCACCTGTTCCACTTGGTGCAGTGAAGGCAGTGCTGAGGATTTTGGATTCTCTCATCGCGGTGATTGATAGGGCAGCTTTTACTGTCACTGCTTCTCTTTGACACAGGTCATTTTCAGCAAATACTGCAGCCCCAGTGACATCCGAGAGTTACTGTGCAGCACCACCGGACTGGCTCGGTAAGAACCTCACTCCCTCAGAGACACAGAGCTGTACAGCATGGAAACAAGTTCTTCGGTCCAACTCGTCCATGCCAACTAGATATCCCAAATTAATACAGTCCCATTTGCCAGCATTTGGCCCATATCCCTCTAAACCCTTCCTATTCGTGTACCCTTCTAGATGCCTTTTAACTGATATAATTGTACTGGCCTCCACCACGTCCTTTGGCAGCTCATTCCATACACGCACCACTCTCTGCATGAAAACGTTGCCTTTAGGTTCCTTTTAAATCTTTCCCCTATCACCTTAAACCTATGCCCTCTAGTTTTAGATTCCTCTACCCTGGGGAAAATATCTTGTCTATTTAACCTATGCATGTCCCTCATGATTTTATAAACCTCTGTAAGGTCACCCCTCAGCCTCTGACGTTCCAGGGAAAATAGCCCCAGTCTATTCAGATTATCCCTAAAGCTCAAACCCTCCAATCCTGGCAACATCATTGTAAATGTTTCTTGAACCCTTTCAAGCCTCACAACATCCTTCCTATAACAGGGAGACCAGAACTGCACACAGTATTCAAATAATGTCCTAACCGATGTCCTGTACAGCCGCAACATGACCTCCCAGCTCCTATAATCAGTGCACTTTCCACCCCTGACCAATAACGGCCAGCATACTAAATACCTTCCTCACTATTCTATCTGCGACTCCACTTTCAAGGAACAATAAACCTGCACTCCAAGGCCTCTTTGTTCAGCAACTCTCCCCAGGACCTTACCATTAAGTGTATAAGTCCTGCCCTGATGTGCCTTTCCAAAATGCAGCACCTCACATTTAATAAAGTAAACTCCATTTGCCACTCCTCGGCCCATTGGCCCATCTGATCAAGGTCCCGTTGTACTCTGAGGTAACCTTCTTCACTGCCCCCTACCCTTCCAATTCTGGTGTCATCTGCAAACTTACTAACCATACCTCCTGTGTTCACATCCAAATCATTTATATAAATGAGAAAAAGCAGGAGACTCAGCAGTGATCCTTGTGGCACACCGCTAGTCACAGACCTCCAGTCTGAAAAGCAACCCTCCCCTATCACCCTCTGTCTTTTACCTTCGAGCCAATTCTGTGTCCAAATAGCTAGTTCTCCTTCTATTCTGTGTGATCTAACCTTGCTAACCAGTCTATAGTAAGGACCCCTGTGGAAAGCCTTACTGAAGTCTATATAGATCATGTTCACCACTCTGCCTTCATCAATCCTCTTCGTTACTTCTTTGAAAAACTCAATTAAGTTTATGAGACACGATTTCCCATGCACAAAGCCATGTTGACTACCCCCAATCAGTCCTTGCCTTTTCAAATACATAATTAGACTCTGACAGGAGAGAACACACAGAGTAAAAAAAAATTTCAAATTCACTTTCGATATAGGCATGGGGTTAGATACAGGGTAAAACTCCCTTGGCAGTGTCCCCATCAAACATTCCCAGGACAGAGACAGCACGGGCTTAGATACAGAGTAAAACTCCATCTACACTGCTCCCATCAAACACTCCCAGGACAGAGACAGCACAGGGTTAGATACAGAGTAAAACTCCATCTACACTGTCTCCATCAAACACTCCCAAGATGTGGACAGCACAGGGTTAGATACAAAGTAAAACTCTCTCTACACTGTCAATGTGACCATGGCTGACCTGATAATCCTTAGTTCCATTTCCCTACCTTTTCCCCATAACCCTTGATTCCCTACCTGATCAAAAATCTGTCTGTCTCAGCCTTGAACATATCTAATGACCCAGCCTCATCAGCCTTCTGCAGTCAGGAATGCCACAGATTCACTCCCCTCTGAGAGAATTAGTTCCTTCCCATCTCTGTCTTGATTGATCGATTGATTTATTGTCACGTGTACCGGAGTAAGTGAAAAGCTTTGTTTATGAGCAGTACAGGCAGATCATAGTAAGCAAGGACGTACAGATCAAAGGTTGTAAAAATAACTTAGACAGAGGCATTCAGGTTACATCGCACAGGTTGAGCACTAGGCGAGATCATCATTAGTAAGATCAGTGTCTTTTGAGGCTAGAGATTCCATTCATCACTCTGATAATGGCCGGGAAGAAGCTGTTCCTGAACCTGCTGGTCCGTGTGTTCAGGCTTCGGTATCTTCTGCCTGATGGAAGAGGTTGTAGGAGATCATTACCAGGGTGTGATGGGTCTTTGATGATGTTGGCCAACTTTCTGCAGCAGCCAACCGACCAATGGTTGAGAAACTTTCAAACATAAACAAAGGGATACTAAAAAAATTAATAAAAAGAGCCAAGATAAATTACGAAAGAAAACTAGTGCAAAATATCAAAAAGGATTGCAAAAGCTTCTATAGGTATATAAAACGGAAGAGAGATACTAATGTTGGTCCCTTGGAAGATGAAACTGGAGTGTTAATAGTGGGGAACACTGAAATGGCAGAGAAGCTAAATCAATACTTTGCCTCAGTTTTCACAGTGGAGGACAACAGTTCCATTCCTAATGGAACGGGCATGTCAGAGGCAATAGAAAGGGTAGAACTTAGAACAATCTACATTGATAGGGAAAAGGTACTCGGTGAACTATCAGGATTGAGAGCAGATAAGTCCCCCAGGCCTGATGGCCCACATCCTAGGGTATTAAAGGAAGTGGCAACGGAGATAGTGGATCCATTCGTTACAATATTCCAAAATTCCCTAGACATTGGAAAGGTTCCAGTGGATTGGAAAAGTGCGAATGTAATGCCCCTATTCAAAAAGAGAGCGAGGCAATATGTGGAAAATTACAGACGTGTTAGTTTAACATCTGTTGTTGGCAATGTGTTAGAATCAATTATCAAAGAAGCAATATCAGGACATTTGGAAAGTCAAAACGCTATCCGTCAGAGTCAGCATGGTTTTATGAAGGGCAAATCATGTTTGACTAATTTGCTAGAGTTCTTTGAAGATGTAACAAGCAAAGTGGATAATGGGAATCCTGTAGATGTAATGTGTCTGGACTTCCAGAAGGCATTTGATAAAGTGCCACACAAAAGGTTAATTCACAAGGTTGGATCATCTCAAATTAGGGGTAATTTGTTAGTTTGTATAGGCGACTGGCAGTGGACAGAAGACAGAAAGTTGGGATAAATGGTTTGCTTTCTGGATGGCAAGAAGTAGATAAGTGGGATGCCACAGGGTTGAATCCTTGGACTCCAGCTGTTTACAACCTACGTGAATGACTTGGATACAGGGATAGAAGGCTTATTGCCAAATTTGCAGACAACACAAAAATATGCGGGATGGTAAATAGCAAATGAGGGAATAAGAACCTTACAAATGGATATGGATAGGTTGGGAGAGTGGGCCAAAATGTGGCTGATGGAGATTAACACGGATAAATGTGAGGTCATGCATTTTGGTCAGAAAATTGGGAAGGCAACCTATATTTTAAATGGGAAGAGATTTCGGGGTGCTCCGGTGCAGAGGGATCTGGGTATCCTCATTCATGAGTCGCAAAACTAGCGCGCAGATACAGCAGACAATAAAGAAAGTGAATGGAATGTTGGTTTTTATAGCTAAAGGAATAGAATATAACGGTAAGGAAGTATAGTTGCAACTGTACAAGGCATTGGTGAGACCGCACCTGGAGTAATGTGTACAGTTTTGGTCCCCTTATTTGAGGAAGGATGTAGTGGCATCGGAGGCAGTTCAGAGGAGGTTCACTAGATTGATCCCACAGCTGAGGGGTTTGTCATATGAAGAGATATTGAACAGTTTAGGCCTATACTCTCTGCAATTTAGAAGAATGAGGGAGATCAAATAGAGGTATTCAAGATGATAAAAGGTGTAGATAAAATAGACGTGGAGCGGATGCTCCCTCTTGTGGGGCATTCTAGGATGAGGGGCCTTAATCTTAGGATAATGGGTAGCAAATTTAAAACAGAGTTGGAGAGAAACTACTTCTCCCAATGGGTTGTGAATCTGTGGAATTCGCTACCCCAAAGTGTGGTAGATGATGGGACAGTGAGTAAATTTAAGGAGGAGTTAGACAGATTTTTGATTGGTAATTGGTTGAAGGGTTATGGCGAGAAGGCAGGAAAATGGGAGTGAGGAGCATATCAGCCATGATCGAATGCCTAATTCTGCCCCTATATCTTATAAATTTATGAACTAAATGGAGTCCATGGATTGAAGATTGGCTTCCGTGATGGTCTGGGCTGTGCACACCGCCTTTTGTAGTTTCTTATGGTCCTGGGCAGAGCAGTTGCCGTACCAGGCCGTTATGCACCGAGACAATTTTTTTTTATTATTCGTTCTTGGGATGAGGGCGTCGCTGGCCAGGCTGCATTTATTGCCCATCCCTAACTGCCCAGAGGGCAGCTCAGAATCAACCACATTGCTGTGGGTCTGGAGTCACATGTAGGCCAAACCAGGTAAGGATGGCAGTTTCCTTCCCTAAAGGACATTAGTGAACCAGGTGGGTTTTTCCTGACAATCGACAATGGATTTACGGTCATCATTAGACTCTTAAGTCCAGATATTTTATTGAATTCAAATTTCACCATCTGCCATGGCAGGATGCAAACCCGGGTCCTCAGAGTGTTATCTGGTTCTCTGGATTAACAGTCCAGTGATAATACCACTAGGCCATTGCCTCCCCCTAGTTTTCAATAGTGCATCTGTAGAACTTTGTGAGGAACGCTATGGACATGCTGACTTTCCTGAGCTGCCCGAGGAAGAAAAAGCATTGTTGTGCCTTCTTGACAGTTGCATCTACATGGAACTCCAGTTCAGGTTGTTGGTTATCGGCACTCTGAGGAACTTGACGCTCTCCACCCTCTCAAACTCAGTACCGTTAATGCAGATGGGGACGTGTTCTCCTCCTTTCTTCCTGAAGTCAATGATCAGTTCTTTAGTTTTGCCAACATTGAGAAATGGGCTGTGCTCATTGCACCGTGTCACCAAGCCCTCTATCTCCCTTCTGTGTTTTGACTCGTCATTGTTAGATATCCGTCCTA